TGTATAGGTGAGTAGAATGCTCTGGATTGATTGGCTTGCTCCACAAACGAGGCAAGCCACGCAGCCGATCAGAATGATGATCCACTCTGGACTGTTCAAATGCAAAAGTCGAAAGAAAACAGGTCCACGATTTGTAATCGATGACTCCTATTAAAAGTACGCTGTAAATGTAAAAACTATCTCGATACAAGTACATTGATGTTCTTTACTCTGTGTCCATCGTCAAGTTCTTGATGACTAAGATGTCGAGAGTGTTCAGCTAATAGAAAGAATGATCTCGTTCGAAATATTCTTTTGTTAAAAGTATTTACATACATATCTGTGTTTGATCATCATCTTCTGTTTGTGTAAGGCTCGTTCTTTCATCGATATCATTTTCTATTCTCTGTTGAGCTTTCATCATCTCGCAATATCGGCTTCCTTCGTTTAACATTAGTGTCTCGTGTGGACCTTGTTCAATGACACGTCCATTATGCAACACATAAATTCGATGCGCATTTCGAATTGTTGCCAAACGATGAGCGATCACGATAGTCGTCCGGCCTAGATGTAACTATAGATGATATAATTGAAACAGAAAGATGTGTACGAACCTTTACAAGCGCGATCGAGTGCTTCTTGGACGATCTTTTCATTGGCATTATCAAGAGCACTGGTCGCTTCGTCCAACAAAAGTAAGGCTGGCTGTTTGACAAGAGCACGAGCTAAAGCTACACGTTGCTTTTCACCGCCACTCAATTGAACACCACGTTCACCGACAACTGTATCATATTTCTACAAAAATAGAAAACATAGTGCATGTCATTAGAAACGAATATTAAATGCAAACATTAGGTAATTGCATAATAAAATCGTGTGCATTGGCTTGACGTGCTGCTTCTTCGATCTCGATTCTTGTTGCATTTTCCTTACCAAAGCGAATATTTTCATAGATACTTGTGGCAAAGAGAATCTGCATAGAACAATGTCAAATACAAAAATTAGAATACAAGGAGACAGACATACAGGTTCTTGACTGACCACACCAATCTTCTGTCGTAGTTGTTTGATATTACAATTGGTAATCGATCGATCATGGATTGCAATGTGACCCGATGAAGGTTCATAAAAACGAAGTAGAAGTGAAATACATGTGCTCTTGCCTATTCACTCAAGAAAGAAAAGACTATTAAACTCTGATTTGGTTTTTTTTGCGAAATACCCACCACAACCACTTGAACCGACTAAAGCTGTTATTTCACCGACACGCGCCGTCAGCGTGAGATTTCGTAGGACTAAGACATCGGGTCGAGTTGGATAAGCAAATTCGACATTGTCAAAATGAATATCACCATTAATATTTATAGATTCTTCATGAGCAACCGAATCTTCCAATATTTGTGTCTCATTCATACTTGTCTTCTCTTCCTATATGATGTAATGGAGAAGAGATTAGATCGTACGTTAAACAAATCTGTACCTCATCGATCAATTGGAATATGGGCGTTAAAGCACCTCGAGTTTCTTCCAATGATTGAAAGAAAGGACTAACAAACACAAGATGACTGATACTTCTTGCCAACATCGTGATTATCTACTCAAATATCGAGAACGTATTTGTTTCGGAAGTCTGGTTTATGAACTAAATACTTTACCACAAGAACATCACTGAAATAGAGCATATCACGTTCTGTATGATACATAAGAAACAAGCCCGTGGCGAAACCAACTGAATAAGGGAGGCATCCTATAAGAGAAATCCATCCAGCGAAGAGGCCAAACACAGCACCCTTGCGTACGCTGCTCCAATGGATTGCCTGTAATTTGCTTTCGTATCTATATACACAATAAAATTCGAACATGATTATGGTTCATGGCTTACAAAGTTCGTTTATAGGTATAATATTTCCTACCGTTTTTCTTCAAATCTTTCACCATTAAGCGAAAGCACAGTACGAAGAGAACTGAACACTTCCTCAACGACTTCGCCTGCTTTTGAATACGAATCCAATTCGTTTCTTGTTTCTTTGGTAGTGAGCTGTTAGAATTAATACAAGCTAAATTAATCATCAACAATTGCATCTACCTTTGAAAAAACATATGAGCCGAATATAGTTAATGGTGCAATGCACAATATGGCAAGTGTCAACTTCCAGTTGATGATTAAGGCAACACAAGCACTGCCAATAGTGGAAAATAATGCTGCGATCACGACTGATAATTCGAAACCGATGCCTTTATTCAAATAATCAATATTGCTATGAGATAAGGGAGCCATATATTGTTTCTATTTCAAATATCGACAGAAAATGACTCACTTGAATAGTTTGACACTAAACTGACCAATCGAATTCATATCACAATAAGAAATATTCTAGAAATAAGAGAGAAAGTGAGAAACAGTTCACATGTACAACAATAAACTATCATGAAGTTGTAACAGGTGTGTCTGAATAAGTAGTCCTTTCAGTATTTTTCTATATTTTCATTGATTATGATCGCTCAGACTTGTTCTCTTTTCCCAAAATATGCGCTATGTAATTCTCCACAAAATCATACATTTTATTCGATGAAGAGAGTCTTCATTTTTGAAAGATCGCAGAATTGTATGGAACTATTGAGTATAATTTTTGAAGCTTTTTTGTTTTTCAACTTTTTTCTCGTATTATTTTAACTTCTGTAATTATTGAGATTTCTATTGTGATGCTCTCACAGGTTACAAATCTTTTCTGAGAACCAAATCATCGTATAAGACGCTAATTTTACGAAATTCATTGCAATTATGAACTGTGAAAATATCACAAAACAAATTACGACAGTGTAAGAGTTAAAAATGCTACAGAAAAAAGCTGAGAAAAACAAAATTGTTTGAAAATTGTACCTAATAGTTCCATACAGTTCTGTAACTTTTGAAAGATGAAAAAGACTGCATTTATCTAGTAAAAAGGCTTCTAGTATGATTCCTATGGGATTAAAATATAGAACACGATGAAGTGACCGTGACCACAACCGAGAAGTCTATCTACACTTATCGAAATATTTTCGGCAATAATGAACAACACATCAAAAACTCCTTGAACCTGTCATTGACTGTAACAGCAATAGTGAACACTTCTAGCAATGTTTGTCACGATCGATAAGATAAGATGAGGAATAGGTTACTTTTCTCACAATTTACTTCAACGCTCATTCTCAGTCGTTTTTCACAGTATGTCATTTTGTAGAGAATTACACAGTTCTTATATTAGGAAAAGTACAAGTCCGAACGATGATAATCAAAAGAGACATCGAGAAGACAGAGAGGAGACCATTTATTGCGCCCTACCCGTTATATTTATGTAAAGATGAATGTGTTTGACATACCCGTTGTAGCAATGATTGTAAAAGGCGAATACGTATTCGAGAGGTCTGCCGTTTGGCCGTCGTGGTGAAGAGAAAATAACGGAGAAAAATGCACACTACTTCGATTATGCCAATGACTATGTACATTCAAGATGCAAACCATTATTTGCTTGATACCTAAAGAATTAGGTTATTTTTACTTACTTAACAGCCAACGCATTTTGTTTCTCACATCAGTATGAAGTTTAGTCGTAGCCGATGACCATAGTGGCGTCAATGTGGTACTTTCATTCAGGTAGACTCTGAAATTGATGAACAGGAATAGATATAGAAACTAGAGTACATCAATGTTTTACGTGATGATGGCTTACTTTTGCGATCGATCATCAGTGAACGTATTTCTCCCAGCACTCCATGGACTTCCTCTGCTATTGTTAGCAGTAATCGATGCATTCTGCTGTAGAGGGCATCGATCAATAAACGACTGCGTTGCAAATGCACTCATAAGTTGACCAGAAATAACAAGAAATACTGTGAAGGCAATACTACTTAGTAAGACGATGCATAAGCTGAAAGCTATTATCAGAAGATCAAGCCGATCAGCAAAACGAAACTACCATAAAGTTAAACAAATATTCCGTTGTTCGATATCTTTTCTTTTTTGATACACTTACTAATTGAAAATATCCAACAATTGGCTCAGTTTTATTATGAGTACTGTCATGATCCAACGTTTCATACTGTTGATCGAGCTGTTTGAAAGAGAAACAACGAAGCCAATTGAATAATCTATATGAATACAGCATTATTGTTGATACCTTTCTAAAGTTCAATTCTATCTTACTTGTTAATGAATGGTTGTCTTCTATTCTTATTACTATCAGGAGTAGACCAACGGCCTGCACTTGATATTAGTGGCTGTGTATCACTCATGATGTGATGTATAACATTTTACGATTGGAAGTAATCGAAAATTAAAACACCTCGACAGAACAGAATAGGTATTACGTGCGATGTGTTGGACTTGGATGTGGATGTATCTGTCGCTTAAAATAAGATGAACCCAAAATATTTTGAATTATATATCACTCGATAGAGACAATGATGCTCTATACACTGATGTATATTAGAATCGAAGATAATATTGATAGAACCTCGAAAACTTTAAAATATCTGAAGTCCTATGAGTTTTACAGAGAACTTAAGTTTTTTAGGTTCGATAAAATGCAAACGCAACTCACAACACATCATTCGATAGAGAAAACCAAACTGAATCGAATCATATTTTTGATTACTAAAAATCGTTATACAGAATGTCCCAAAAGTCATCTACCAAAAACAAAATTGTATACTTCCATTAGGGTTTCACTGAACGAATTAGTTTTTGTTCTGTGGATAGAGAATACTTGCAAGTTTTGTTTCATAAATATAAAGGTCATAAATATTTCTGAAAAGTGAGACTTTTAGATTCAATACGCCAAAAAGTTCTTTTTATCAGTTTTGGGAAATAATGTATAGGGATTTCCTGCAAGTTTCTTTCATTATTGTGGACGTTTAATCATCTAGGTCTCACTCTCTCGGTTTAGAAACAATTATTTAACGCTTTCGAAAAATGTAGAGTGATTAGTGTATTTCTTCAAAATGATCTGTGCGTCGCTCATCAAAAAATTTAATACAAACTGAACTGACTAAACTGCCGCAATTTTAGGGCTTCCATGGTCATCAAATTTGGCATTCATGTGTCTAGTTTGTTGTAATTCTCAAATAAATATTGATACAACAAGAGAAGGAGACCTAGACAATTAAAGGTCTATAATAATGAAAAAAACCTTCGAAAAATTACAAAACAATTTATATATTGTTTCCCAAAACTGGCAAAAAGGATTTGTTGACGTATTAAGTCTAAAAGTGCCATTTTTCAACAGCGTTTATGAACTTTAAATTTATGAAATAAAACTGAGAAATGTTTTCTATCAATAAAATAAAAGCCAGTTCGTTCGCTGAAATTCTAATGGAAATATACGATTTTCTTTTTAGTAGATGACTTTTGCGACATCTTTTATAAGAGACATATTGATTACTAATGAAAATAAGCATTTTATAAAGGTTGTTCAATAATCTTGGTTTTTAGGGAACGAAGTTGAACTAAAAATTTTTTCAAACGATAAGGGCTTGTAGAGAATTAAATTCTCTACAAAATGATACATTTGTGTGCACGATAATTATTTTTCCTGAATATGATAAGAACCTATCTTTTCTAGTACAGTTTACAGTGAAGAAAGAAGGAAAAAAAATTCGTTCTGTCACTTTATATGCGTCGTGTATGCACATATATATCTTTCTTTCCTTCATTCACCAGCTTGGTGTATATAAAGCGATAGAGCGAAAAAGTTTTTTTTTTCTTCTTTCTCCAGTATAAATTATATTTGAAAAGATAGGATCTTATTGTATTCAAGAAAAATAGTTATTGTGCATCCAAGTGTATCATTTTGTAGAAAACTTAATTCTCTACAAGCCAGTATCGTTCGAACAAATTTTGAGTTTGATTTCGTTCCCTAAAAATAAGATTGTCGGAAGACCTATATGAAATACTAATTGTAATTAGCAATTAATTTGTTTTTTATATGATGATTTTTAGAAAGCAAAGATAGAATTCCATTCAGTTTAGTTTTCTCTATGAAATGATATATTTTGAGTTGCATTTTTATTTTATCGAACCCGAAAAACTTAATTTCTCTGAAAAATTCATAGGACTTCAAGTATTTTGAAGTTTTCGAGGTTCTATCAATATCTTTTTCGATTCTAATACACATCAGCGTATAGAGATTTGTTTTGTCTATCAAATGACATATAATTCAAACTATTTTGATGCAGAATAAAAGCAGCATAAAAATAAAACTACAGGTATCCAAATAATTTTTTGCATAGGAAATCAAGCAGCTATAGAAAATCTTTTTGAGAGAAATTTTTGTTTGCACAATAAAGTAGAGACTTTGATATATCGGATGGTATTATTAGAGTTTAGAAAATTGTTTTTTCTTCCTTGTGAAATTTGCTTCAAAAGACAAGTATTACACGGTGTTCGAATAATTAATTTACATTGTGTATGCTTACTCGTTGAATACGTGCGAAATCTTGTGTGCCCACAATCAGAATAACAGTGAAATCTATCGACGTTGTTTTATGAGTGAGAATAAAACAATGTGTTGCCTATGTATATATTACAAAATAAGTTTAGCGTTTACATTTGAGTGTCTATATATGTTTAATGAAGCATAAAGTATTGATTGTATACTGCCTTTGTTTCATACAAGTATTATCAGCGCTTTACTTACTCTGTCTCCCGCCGTTCACACAGATTAGTCGACAGCGATGAAGAGTCAGTTGAATGTTCGCCAAAGTATACATTTTTATTATACTGTCACCTCTTTTTATTTTGCACTCATTACACAGAACTGACAAAATATTATGATTTCACTGACCATTGTTTATCGGTCAAAAGCATAATCTTGGTCAAGCACCAATCTCAAACGATATTTTCACACATAATAATCGAGACTATAAGTTGTACATCCACAATAGCAATCACACCTTTCTATCTGTAAAGAATCTAACACATAATTTATTCTCAGTCTACAAACAGAAACTCTTATTGTCTTTTCTACCGTTAAATGGTTCCACAATTCATGAGACACGTTTTGCAAGAACAATCCGTAAGAACTATTCTCAAAGAGCGTTTAGGTAAAAGTCACGCTTTCCATTTCGTCGTGTCCGGTTTGTTTGAACTTCTATCTTCTCAGTGAACGATTGAAAATCATTTTTCAGAAACAACGTATTTATTTACATATAGTGTTTGCATTGTATTAAACAAAAATCGATGAACAAAGTGTATCGGAACTATTATCCATTTCAAAATAGAATGTGCTCCACTGTTTTTTGAATAACTCGAGAATGGAAGCAGCTAGAAACCTGCGGTTTTCACCAATCGAAAGAGGAGACAGAGGCACGTCTTTTTCTTCAATATTGTATAAGACGAAGTCCTTTAACACTAATTATCTCTGGGAAACATGGAAAAGAATGCATGAAAGTGACCTACCATCTAGATGAAATTTTGATTTTGATCTTCGATTTAGATAGAGGGACTTGAGATCTATAGTTTAAGATACAATGCACTTTCCTACTTTTCGTTACGTTTTCATCGAAATGTCCAGCTATTATGATAAAAAGCGCAAAAACTTAATAAAAAATCAATAAAATTCCCTATTATTTGCGCATGTCAATACATGATTCCATTTGCTCAACTTTAGAATGCAATAAGAGAACCGTTTGCATTGTGTCTTGAACTATAGATCTCAAGTCCCTCTATCTAAATCGAAGGTCAAAATCAAAATTTCATCTAGATGGCAGGTCACTTTCATGCATTCTTTTCCATGTTTCCCAGAGATGATTAGTTTTAAAAGGACTTCATCTTATACAATATTGAAGAAAAAGACGTGCCTCTGTCTCCTCTTTCGATTGGTGAAAACCGCAGATTTCTAGCTGCTTCCATTCTCGAGTTATTCGAAAAACAGTGGAGCACATTCTATTTTGAAATGGATAATACATAGAAGTGAAATACGTATGTGTGTTTCAGAAAAAAAGCCAGATCTCTTGCAAAACAAGCTAAAATAAGATCTATCAGAAGATATCTAGTTGTTTTTGTGTACTCAAAAAGTGAGTACACTATAGAATCGGACAGTGTGGCCGTCCGTTTACACGATAACTCTTCACAACTACATCCGATTGAGGTGAAATTTTGTGCACAGAAGTATCTCATCAATATCTCGGCCGAGCTCGAAGATGAGAATGATTCGTCAAGAAATGGCTGAGATATCAAAAAAATTGTCATTATTGATCAGACCATCCCTGAGGAGAGGTACAGGGATTTTTCAAAAAACAAATTTTCTCAGAATTATTTAAAATATATATAAATCGACTCAGTTTTCAACGCTGATTACGAATATGATATTAGTTTGGCACCAAATTGTATTGTTTTAATTAAAAGTCGTCTAAACAATGTCATAAAATGCTCAAAAACTGCGTTCCGAGACAAATGTGACTAGTGATTTGGAGGTTTTCTAAGTCCGTGATTTTGTAGCTGCTAAAGTCAAAGGTTAAATAGTTCCTTCTAGTAAATTTTCTTACCTACTTTTGTATCTTATTTTCTTACTTCATTCAATAACAGAATCAACCTCCGATAACAATCCGAAATTGATCATTAGCATACTTTATATTATTTTAGATCCTCAATTCTTATTGTATTTAAATACAAACTTCACCTATCAAAAAGGTTTTGATTAAATAAAATCATTCTGCTTTATTGAAATAAAAAAGAAAAGTAATATGTTTTGAAATATTTCTTTGTTTATCCGTCAATATTTTAGATTCAAAAAGAATAAATCTAATCAATTAATGGACAAAGAAAATACAAGTTCAATAGTTTGTGTACCATTAAATCTTAGTGCTAATGAACCAGTAAATCTTGGTGCTAATGAACCAGTAATTCTTGATGATAATGAATTATTAATTGATAATAATGAACCACTTGTTCTTGCTAAAAACAAACCTGTTATTCGTGTTCATAATAGAACATTTGTTCGTAGTAATAATAAATCATTTACTCGTGATCATAGTAAAGGACTTGTTTCTGGTAATAATGAACCAGTTCTTTTTAGTAATAGAATTTCAAAATTTGAACATTAAAAAAAGAATATTTCTATCTTTAGAAAAAGGTATTCGAGGTACAGTCGTTACGGTCAATCGTCTTAAACACTATGCGTTCATAAAAAGATTTGTAATAGCTAGTTTGTTTTTAAACTTAATTCTATATATTATGTAGAAAACACAAAGTCGAATCGCGTGATATTTTTGCTCGTGAAGCGTCAATCATCAATAAATTACATCAAAAGAAGTTTTTTATATCGGATAGTTGCAAATTTGATACGATCAAAAGTGAGTTTTTTAATTTAACCATCACTTAAATGATATTTTTCGCTGTTCTGTAGCTGCACGGGGTATTGAAGCGGTTAATATAAAAATCGAAGAAAGACACATAAATAGTATCGCTAAACTCCCCAAAATACCTAAAAAAAAAGAAACAAATGAACAAACACATATTTCTGCTGATCTTTTTCGATCTATTATGTATGACTTAATGTATTTCTTTTAATTTAAATTAAACTATATCTCATTTTAGTGCAGATCTATTTCGTGAAGCATTAAATAAAAATAAATGAATATCATTGATAATCATCATTTGATTTATAACAACATTAACAATATTGTTATGACATCTATTAGATCTTCGTTTGTTGTCATGTTCTTTCGTTTTCGCTTTCTTCTTTCGTTATGTTTCTTTTGTTATGTTCGTTCTTTTTTTTGCTTCTCTACTTCCTTCTTCTGGTGTCCTCTTGCGTGCTCTTTAGGGGTGAGAAAGTCATTGTTATTTTTTTTGTTATTATAACAATAACATGAACTTTTTGATTCAAAAAAATTAAGGAAACAATCTAAGCATAGCTTGTACGAATGTCAAAGGATTACTTTATTCATACAGTATCTTTCTTACTATTTGATATAAGGACTAGTCGTAAATATACAATAACAATAACAAAAAATGATATTTTACGATTTCTCAAAATGTTTACGACTAGTTCTTATATCAAATCGTAAGAAAGATACTGTATGAATAAAGTAACCCTTTGACATTCATACAAGCTATGCTTAGATTGTTTCCTTAATTTTTTTGAATCAAAAAGTTCATGTTATTGTTATAATAACAAAAAAAAATAACAATAACTTTCTCACCCCTAGTGCTCTTCCTTATGTGTTGGTTTTCTTTTCTCGGTGTTACCTATTTCTTTCCTCATTCATCATTCACTATATATATATATTTTTCTCTTTTCCCTATTCTTCTTTCTCCACTTATGATATTTCGTACTGTAAGGATCTTTCTGATCACAGTTAGAGCGTAATAAAAAAAAAGACATCTATTAGATGTATATCGTTAAACAAAAAAAAGAATTGTAATACAATACATTGTACTTAAGAAGAAATTGTTTAAATACAATCTACCTTGTATTAAATAAATAAAAGCTGTTAGCGCAATCCCTTGCGGGATTAAAAATGTGAAACACGATGTACCTGTTGTTGCCAATCTTATAAAAATTGTTCTTTTTTATGCATATTGGTGTACATTTCTTCATCGTGGCTTACTTTACATTATAGAGCTGAAACAGGATAATACCCCATATATGCTCCAATCATGTGTTAGTTATGCATTATCTCTGATACTTCCTTGAACTCTTCTTTCACAGTCTATGATGACCCCTAGAGCTTGTCTGTCACAGTCTGTGATGGTCTCTGGGGTTCTCTGTCACGGTCTGTAATGGGTACTGGGGTTTCTCTGTCACGGTCTGTGATGGTCTCTGGGGTTCTCTGTCACGGTCTGTGATGGTCTCTGGGGTTCTCTGCCACGGTCTGTGATGGTCTCTGGAATTCTCTGTCACGGTCTGTGACGGGTATATGGTTCCTCTGTCACGGTCTGTGATGGGTATGGAATTTCTCTGTCACGGTCTGTGGGGAGCGGGGGGGGGGGGGGGGGGGGAAATTTCTACCCCTAAACACTTCAACACTCCTTTCAGATCGTGTTTCACAAAAGATAAACCACTAAATAATTTCTCGATCATTAATATAATACTTATATTTCAATCACTCGTTTTTTGTCTTCAATTGATTTATTTCATTTTTTAGATTTTAATTATAATAATCATTTTCAAACAATTAAAAAAATACAATTCGAATTTTTTCTTGAAGGAAGGTTGTCAAGTTTTTGACATTCTAAAGTTTCTTACCTAGTATCGAATATTTCTTCACCTAGTTTAAACGAAGATTTATTTCGAAAGAAACTTTTCCATTTATATATCTCAATAAATTCTGAGATAAACACGTTTTTAACTAAGTGCAAACTGTACTTAGTATATATACGTTTTAAATTTGAATGAGAAGCTGTGATTATTTAAGATTTTAACGTCTAATTTAATCACATTTGTTACTCTTTATTTTATTATTTATTCAGCTGGTAATTTTTTTAACCGGTTGAAAAATGCCGAAGACAAAAAGAAGATCGATATCTCAAAGAAATGCCGAGATGGCAAAAAGAATGAGAGAAAAAAGAAATAATGATGAGTTCCACTTGTCAGACAATAGACGATGAGCAAATTCTCACAAAGCTCAACGACGAAATGAAGAATTTAAAACATAAGACAACAAAAGACGAGCTGATGCCCATAAAGTTGAACGACAAGATGATGAATTTAAAAAAGAAGAAAATAAAAAAAGAGCAGAAGCTCTTAAAATTGCGCGACATGATAATGAATTCAAAACAGAAGAAAATAAAAGAAGAGCTGATGCTCATAAAATTGAACGACAAGATGATGAATTCAAAGAAGAAGAGAGAAGGAGAAATGCATTAAGAATGCACAATAGTAGAGATAAATACAAAAGTAATTTTGATAGCATGAAATCAAATTATGAGTCAAAAATAAAAGAAGGACCTACTCATATTTGTAGTTGTTGCGGTGGTTTATGGTCTGAGTATTCAATCAGAGAATATACAGTCGAGATGTTAATAAACAAAGGATTAAAAGCAGAATTTATCAATACAGTTTGTTATCTAAAACATGCGATCATTAAATTATGTGTTACTTGTAGAAAGGACATCATGTTGGGTAAAATACCTAATCTCTGTCTATCTAACGACTTAGCATTCTATGAAGTACCGGATTGTTTGAAAATCTTGACTGAATTAGAAGAAAGATTGATATCACCAAGAATTCCTTTTATGATAATTCGAACCTTAGGCTTTTGTAAACAATTTGGTCTCAAAGGTAATTTAGTAAATGTTCCCATGAGTGTTGACACAAATGTTTCAATATTACCCAGAAGTTTTAGCGATACTCACACGATTCAACTGAAACTCATGAGACAAATGAAAAATAAAAATGCTTTTATGTATGAAACAATTCGACCAAAAGTTGTACATACAGCTATAAAATATCTTGTTGAACAAGAACTATATAAAGATGAAGGCATTGTTATATCTAATAATTGGCTGAACGAATATCCCAATGAAAGAGAAAATTTTGTTGTTAATGATGAAGATAAAAAATTTGTTGAGAATGAAAACACAGGAAAAGGTTTTGATGACGATGACAATTGGAATGAATGTGACGATAAGCCAATCACTCCAGGAGCTACTGAAACGTTATTAAATGATGAGATTGATGATCAAAATGATATTGGTATTAAATTTGCTCCGTGAGAGAATAACAAGCCAATATCTATTTTGATGGATTTGAAAGTCGATGAGTTAACATTTCCAAAAATTTATTGTGGAAAACAAAGAAAAATCAAACCAAATGTTAAATTGACTTATGCTAAAATTGCCAAGTCAGAACTAAGAATGTTTGATCGAAGATGTGGAAGAGTATCGAAACTATTTTTTACATATAAGAAACTACAAACAAGAAAGTTCTCTGATGCTATTTCAATAAATTTGAGAAAAACAAAAAATACAAAAAACGTAACTGCTACACAGATGCTCAATCGAGATTATGTAAATGGATTAATACATAATGGTGATGCTTTTACATTCTTAAGATGTGATCGATCTTCACCAGCATTTTGGGAACTAAAAAAGAAAGAAGTTATGGCAATGATCAGGCAATTAGGATGTCCAACACTATTTTTAACATTATCAGCAGCAGAAACACAGTGGTCAGAACTTATTATAATATTAACTCAAGTTTTGGAAAATAAAGTAATAACATTAGAAGAAGCAGAGAGTATGAGTTATGAAAAGAAATGCAATTTGATAAGAAATGATCCTGTAACATGTGTTCATTATTTTGAACATAGATTAAAATGTTTATGGGAAATATTATCAGCTCCTTGTGGTCCATTTCAAGGCTATGAATTAGTAGACAAGTATGTCAGAACTGAATCTCAAGTTCGTGGTTCACCACATGTTCATGTTCTACTATGGTTAAAGAATGGTCCAAAATATGGCGAAAATAATCCTGAATCAATTGAAAGATGTATAGAATTTATTGATAAATTGATTTCGGTTAGTTCTAAGCCAGCGAAGTTTTCTGAAGAACTTAGCAATTTGCAACGTCATAAGCACTCACATACTTGTAAAAAATATGTAAAAGATTGTATTAAATGTCGTTTTAGTATTCCATATTTTCCGATGAGAAAAACGATGATTTTAGAACCATTTA